AAGGGGCTGGCTACTAGTGACTTTAACGGTCGTATGTAGCCCTTCACGAGGTTCGTTTTTATAAAATTATGTTCTTTCTAGAGTTCTTCTCCTAACTTGGGGTATAGCGGTCTAAAAGGTAATGTTTTTCCTTCATCTAAGTTAATTATATGATCCTAAGGTTAATATTCTAGTAGGTTTACTTTTCCTTCCTTTTCTATAAACATGTATGTCCATTTCTTATACCATTTTAGTAACTTAAGGGGTATGCTGCTATCCTCCTTCTTACACATTATGGCCTGATTCTTGCTATTATTTGCCAAGGGTTGGTCCAAGTTTTCGACTTTATATCACGGTATTATATTATTAATGACTCCCTTATCTACCATTAGTTTCATTTAATATATAGGCTTAGCTTACATTGTATAGTTGCAGCGTTTAAAGGATATTATTTTTAAACCCTAGTCGATGTGCGGGTTATATATCCTTAACTAAGGCATCCCTAATATAAGTTCATATATGGATCCTTTAAAGACATTAAGGGTAATCCTTTCCCTATGTCCTTGGACGTTGAGTATCGTAGTGACCTCTTGAGTTATTCGAGACGTCTTAGGTATTAGGGTTCCATTCGCGACATAGATTGTGTAGGGTTCTTCTTTATCCAGTATAGTAAGTCCGGCTTTCCTTACTACCTCATATAATATGAAGTTTTTCCCTACCCCTAAGTCCACAAGAGCTTTCACCCATATTCCTTTAAGCTGTACTAGTAGCTTAATTAATACTATACTATAGGTGGTATTTAATTCTGCGAAGGCGTCTTCCCGCCGGAGCCTAGGTCTAAAAAAGACACATCATGGTTGTCATATACTTCTGGGGCGAGGTAGTTATTTATCCTTACCTTCTTCTTCTATTAACGCTTTAGGTATCGTTCCTTATCACTATCTATTTCCACCTAGTTAGGATACTTTTCCCTACTCTATAGTGCTTCACCATTTTCTCGTACTGGTTCAAATTCCACAAAGGTAATCCATCGCTTAGGTAGGTCTTTAAATCTATTTATATATTTCTATTCTATATATATAACACAGTTAGGGTGTAAATAGGTATACTAGTAAGGTTGTGTACATTATTTATTTACTAGTATTAAGCATGCTTGGTTTATAGCAGCGTTATAGTGAGGAAACCATTGTCGTTCGCGCTTATCCCATAGATGTTTATCACATCCTATGATAGGGTAGTTAAACCATTCCTATCTATAACGTTATATGCGCTTTGGTTGTTTATTATTTTCTTCTTTCGCTTAGTAGTATATCTAGCATGTGTCCTCTCCACACTCTATCCATCTAATGGATACGTGCGTTGGATTTCGGTGGTCCAGGTCGTACTGTGGTGCGTAGTTTGCTTCCTCGTTCTTATAAACCTTATACATGGGCCAGTTCTTATATATTATCTCTGCCTAGTCCCGTTATTCCTTTGAGACCTTGGCTCCTCCTTATGGTTTGAACGTGATGGGTTGGATATATCCATCCAAGTGCATCACTACCCCATAGGTAAGGTCGCCGTCTCGAGGTTGGTTAGGTTCCAGAAATTCCTATACGTTTGGCGTATTATTGCTTGATCCAGGTTCTAGTGTATAGTCGGGTGTTGTTAGGTTATTCTTAAGGTATCGTCCTTAAGGGTAAGGAGTAGGAGATCATGTAATCTCTTCTACGTCTAGCTCTTCCTCTGCACTGAGGTATACGTCTGAGCCTTCGTTCGGGTCTTCGTATAGTCGTGAGTTAGGTGAATCTGGTTGGTCCTAATCTTTGATTTTAAGCTTCTTAATATTAGTAAGTATCATCTATTCTTCATTAGTTGCCTCTACATTACTAGTGGATAGTACATTTAACTGCACGGTCCTTATAACCTTATTCTTAGAATGGTAGTTCCTAGTGATGTGGCCTAGTTTACCACATATAAAACATTCACGGGTCTTAGTTATCCTTAGTTAACTTCTATCTAAGACGCGTGGTTTAGGCTTGTAGAAGCCTAATGCCTTTCCTTTTCCTTTACCTAAGTAGTTAAACTAGATATCTTCTATGGGTGCGTAGCCATACGAGTTCTACGACTATTGTTAGTGAGGTTTGGTCGACTTTTAGTAAACAACTAGTGGTGGTTACCTAAAGCTTACTCTTAGGTTCCTCGCGAGATCCTATTATAGATCATACCATTCTCTATTAATCCTAATGCACTCGTTATACAAGTCCTTAAGGGTGTTAATAAGTCTACCACTATACTATAGTTCCTTACGTAGTTATTTCTTAAGTCCTTATTTATACATTTATATTAATAATTTGTCTTCCTAGTCCAGCTATACGGCGTACTTGCGGAACTCCGCAGTATACTCGGCTATAGAACGTTATTAAACTAGGGTTTGAATGGTTCGTGCGGCTATTACTTCCTAGTTAGCGATTCCAAACATCTATTTGACACCATTTTTAAAGTTCTTATAGTCTTTAATAAGTGTAATAACGCTGAGGTTACTTTGTACATAGTTAGGGTCGACGTTATTGTCATTAATATCTAAGTACTTCGTGATATAGGGTTAGATCCATTCTTTTATATCTCCTCTCATATAGGATGCTGTAAAGAGAACTTTATCTTTATCATCCTTGTCTTTATTTTCTTCGTAGAAGTAAAGGTCCAATTAAAGAAGCCAGATGTTGGTATGGTTTCTAACGCCGTAATATAGGTCGGGTTTATGCACCTTGGTACCCTTATGTTCCATTGGGGTTACCGTAGCGTTGCCCATGTCCATGGAAGAGGTAGGAGTCCCTATTGCCATATTAAGGGTATTCAAGATGTTAAATCCAGAAGGGTAGCTAGTCCTAAAGGGTTAGGGTTGGTTCTCGGGCAAGACAACTAAGGGAAGGGAAGGGTTTTTGTCGAGACGATAGTATTGGAGGAGGATATAACGAATTAACAATATAGCCTAAGTGTAATCCAAACGATAGATTGATAAATAGGTTAAATACGAGTATAAGGGTTTATACCCGCGTTCCTATATACTAAGCCTGATTAGTTACTTAGTTGGACTAATTATGGTGATTAAGTCGTGCTTAGTGATTAGTATACGAGTTGCTTAGTATGATTAGTGGGCTTGGCACACTAATCACTCTAATTAAGTCACGTGACCACGGTTACACCTATGTCTCGGTTGCTTTGCCTAATTATATGTGTGATCCGGATGACTATTCATCTTGGATCCTAATAATAAGTAAGGTCTCCCTAGTGTTCTTAGTGCCATAATCTACGTTATAACCTATTATAAGCAAAGGTATATCCACTTTAAGCCACCACCCATAGGCGGTGCCATTTAGAAAGGTAGCGTTAGCATCTTCTCCACTTGGATCCATAATGGGGTTTTGGATCCAGTTAAGTGTTATGTTGGTGCATTTAAACTCTACGCGGTTGGAGGTATCTAAACAACGAGTATAAATGCCTAGAGTCTCATATTTAGGCCACGTGCAATTGCTATTAGGGCATCTAAGAGGTACCTCGGCCCTAATACTTTTGCTAAATGTTATAGGTAATTCTCTATTATTGTAGAAGAATCTATATGTGATGCCTAGTAAGCCTTAGTTAAGTTCTAGATTCTCTATTCTGGACTAATATTCTTTACCTACTAAGAACGGCTCGTATCTAGTTGCCGTAGGAATATAGCCACTACCATCCTATATGCGCCACTTCTTAGGATACTTAACGACTTATTGGAAGAATGGATTGAGACACAACGCGAATATCGTTATAGTAGTACCAAGTGCTGTAAGTGATCTGCCTTTAATGCATATAAGCAGGAGGAATGATCCCTAAGACCCTCTAGATGCGTTATTGAAGATCTCGAAATCCTATATCTTCTTTGATCGGGCACCTTGAAACCAACTCCATTTTAACTGGCCAAGAGCTTCTAATATAGGTAAGAGAAGTGCTGTAGAAGTAACTTTTAATAAGATAGAGATGTAAGTATTTAAGGTTAGACTAAGAGGCCATTTGGGGATGCGCCCGTTCTAATGAAAACCAAGCATAATGAGGATCCCAGCCATATAAGCTGCGCTTAATATCTAGCTAATAATTTCTAGAAGCCATCTCTTAACTACGTTTTGTAAACCGCTATACTTCTACAGCTTCTGCTTAATGTGTTGAGCCCAGTTCAACGCCTTCTATAATTTAACTTCTTGTGCTCCATTCTCTACTGTGCCAGGTGTAATTGGGCTGGCGTCTGGTCTAAAGAGTACATTAGCAATTCCCAGGCTGGCCTGACTCTTACGACTCCAGTCAATCTCATCGAACTTAGTGACCGTAGAAGATAGAGGGGAGAAAGCATTCCAACGAAACTGGACGTTTGCTCTTCCTTTAGGGTCGAATTGAAGCGCTTATGTTGGGGTCTGAGGTTTCGACTAGTGGCGAGGTGGCTCTACTGTGAGTACCGGTATGGTCAAATGTCGTGGCGATAGAGGCGGGGTGGAGCCAGTGAGATTGAGTTGTACAAAGGAGGGGCGGGTGGGTGCGCCACTAATATATAATGAATTGGCGTATCTCGTGAGTTCTGATTGCAATTCGGACATATGTGTTCTGGAACATGCCTAGGGTGCAGAGAATGCGCGGAATGTGTAGGAAGTGTTAATTTTATTGATCGCGCTGACCGTGTTGATTGTGCGGAGTTTGTGCAATGTGTTGAATCTAAAGATCCCTATTAGTCTTTGGCGCAATCTTCGCCGCGTTCTACATAAATAGGAATGTTCGGGTTCGAGGACCAGTATGGTGATACTAGAAACCTAGGCATGTTGAATGAGGGCGTTACAAGTGACTGCTAGTCCGGACTGGATTTACCTGTGGATAATTAATACTAAAGGAATAGTTCGCCAGCGGACCGTTGAGAATCGAATTGATTGATGGCGCATTGAGAGGCTAATGATACTCTTATTGCACGAGATGTGGCACGGTTTCCACGGTTCCCATAATGGCTATATTTGGATAATAAACATACCCACTCTGGGGCAAGCGCTCGTTGATTGCTCGAGACTTCAGTGATGGGTAAAGGCGCGGGTGGGCCCCTAGGCTTACGCCGCATTCAAGCGCACGAGCTGAGGAGCCTCAAACAACCATGTCGCCGTCAGAAGTGGAACACATCCCCTCGTGACGGAAATCCCGGTGTGCCGGAAACGACCAATCAGCTCGCAAAAATCGTGGTCTTTTCGTTGATCGTAGCGAGTTGATCGGTCAATTCCTCTAAGTTACACAGGGATTTCCGGTACGTTATAGCGGCATAAAGTTGTTTGTTGTGTAATATGCTATTCTCATTATTCCGGGCGTCATGTTTGAGCAGCGACTCCGACATCCCTGCACTATCTCTAGCCATTGCTATGTAAAGCGCGTCGAGGTTATGTTTATGTGAGCATTTCTCCACATTCCTTTACTATTGCTCCTAGAATCAAGCCAGAATCTGTATGCCCGTAGATGACTATTCTGATGTTCAGGCTCTGAAACTACGCAAAATCATGGTCTCCAAATCACCGAGTCTTTCGCTTGAGCTTTATAATCATTCGCTTTTTCGGAAGAAGCTCGCAGACAATGACCATGCATAAGCGTCAGCGTCAGCATAAGCAGATGTGCTTAATTTCACATTTCCAAGTTCCCTTCTGCATATCAGTTTCATACCCTGCTCAGCTGCTGTCAGCATCACTAATCCGTTCTAGATCACGTGAGACAGAGTAATAACCCGCATCAACATAACGTTAAGGACTAGTGGTGCTGCGTGGAAGTAGACGCGAGTGGCTGCAATCCCATGGCAGGCGTAACCATAGGCTTATGGAATAAGTATCTCACAAATGTAATGCTCCCAAAGCGAGAACGTTAACTCTAGGACAGAACTGGCGAATGCATATTCACTCCTTGACACAGCTGCAGCACTGTCATGCATAGTTTCATACGCTGACAGCATAATATGCACAGTTGCCCATGGTGGGATCGAGTGAGTCACAATCATGTCCTCTGCTGATGTGACGGTGGTCACTGGTGTCCTCCTGTGGAAGGGTGAAGCCGTAATCGACATGAACTATACCTTACTCTGCCCACATATCGGTATTCCATCTTATGGTGGGATCATGCTGTGAGTTAACTGTGAGTGGGCGCCCAATGCGTCCATGACATACCGAAAAATCCCAAACAACGACGACCAGACCGCAACCCCGTCTAAAAAACTTTGGGCGAATTCTGATAACCAGAGTGTTGACACAGGCAAGGGATCCCCGAGGAATAGAGCCGAGTCGTACGGAGAAATTTCATTCGCTCCTTCAGAGCAAACAGGAAACACGAAAAAGACTTGTTTCGCCAATAGAGCGAACATGGCACACATTATCGGTATCCAGGGTACGACATGGTCTTTCTGGACTCAACTCCGAAGAAGTCTTTCAGACGGTGCTTAGTCACGAACAATATCGCATGCGTTGGTATACATATCTTCATAGAGTGTGGTGAAATAATAAAGGAAAACAATGCGACTACTCAACAGGAAGACTGTGGGCACATATTACTTTACATTATTTGTGCAGATTACCTTAGACACGGTTCAACTATTGCATAGCGAACTCGAGAACGTAGACTACCTATATGAAAGTCCATTGAGAGCTTGTCGAACTCGATACTTCCCACTGTTGCAGGTACAGTGACGACTATGTGGTCGGTGGCAGTCTCGGAAGGCTACAGTCAACAGGCTTCTGTGAAGTCAAAAACAAGGCGCCAGCCTATGCAAGACGGCAATAGGTAGTGGGTGTCGATACTCGCAAGCGTCTGCGCTGATGGTTCGGCACTGCCTCCAGGCATCATCTATCCAGGCGCTCCCAACGAGATACAATCGTCCTGGTGGAGGATATAGACGCAGAAAAACACTCAGTGTTTGTTACTGCAACGCCCTCAGGCTGGACGAACGACGAGGTCAGCCTTGCGTGGCTAGAACAGGTCTTTGATCGCTACACTCGAGAGAAGGCGCGCAGAAGTTGGCGACTACTTATAGTAGACGGCCACGGCTCGCATATAACCTGGTCCTTCATCAAATACTGCGATAGGAATAGGATACTACTACTAGTGTTCCCTCCTCACAGTACCCACACGCTGCAGGCGCTCGATGTAGCAGTCTTCTCACCTCTGGGTACAAGCTATACAAACTAGCTCATTGAACACCTTCACAGTACTCAAGGCCTAGTAGTCGTGAAGAAGCGCGACTTCTTCCACCTATTCTATGAGTCCTGGACGTGTACCTTCACCCTAAGCCTTATCCTCAGGCCTTCGAAGTCACAGGCCTATCGCCACCAAACGCAGCTGTAATCGTCGATAGATTGCGAAATAAGCGCAGGCAGCTGCCTCGTAAACCTTCACTAATTGCAGCAGACAACTGGAAGCAAGCTATCCAAATACTGGCCCAGGTGGTGGAGAATCAGGACGCAGAGGAGGTGCAGCAGTTGAGGCGTACTATCTCTCACCTCTCTGCCCATACACAGCTTGTACAGCTTGAAAACGAAGACCTACGCAACGTAATTAGGGAGCTTAAGCCCTCTAAAAATAAGTGGAGGAGGCTTGACCTGCAGCATCGCAAGGAGTTTCACAGTACAGCTGTTCTTTGGGTCCCTCGTAAGATCCGCCAAGCTGAGGAGCGCTAGGAGGCTAATATGGAGCAAACACTACAAGAGAAGGTAGATAAAGGTCGTTAGAAGGAGCTTAAAGCCCAGAAGAAGCTTCAAGATCAGCGGATTAAGCGGCAGAGGCGTGTAGAACGAGAGAGGGTGAGGGAAGAGAACGCAAGGAAGAAGGCTACTGATGACGCTAAGAAGCAATGGAAGAAACAAGAGCGCGACGCTGCCAAATCTATACAAATACCCAAAATAGGCAAGCGCAAGGCCTCAAGTAAGTGTTCTATAGAGCCTGCAGCCAGGAAAACAGCCCGCGCGTGGTGCTGCTCGCGTCGTCGTTGAGGCGTCGCCGTCCCCGGCACCTCCACCAGTTACCACGCGCAGCGGCCGCAAAACAAAGCCAAATAAGCAATGTGAGAGGGCAAGCACCACAGAGCTTAGTAGACTGTTACGACAAAAATTCTCGCGATAATAACTTTTATACGTGGCTCTACAGCTTCATTTTTGAGGTGTGCCAAGGCGTGCACGGTCACTGTAGGAAAACTCTTACCTTCCATGTCACGCGCCAAATTACAGAACGGCATTTACGGACGATTTGTTGGCTTATCCTCGGCCTACTACATATGTATTGGGCAACGATTCCTTAAATATGGCATTTCCGGCATAACCAGCTTCGTTGTTAGGGTCGTTCTGGGCGGTTCGTAGCTACATGCGGTGGCGTCAAACAACTGAAGTTTCTGATTAAGAGTACCAAAATAACAATGGAGGCCGGAGTAACCCTCTTCCTTTGACTCGCACCCATCCACGGCCCAACTACTCTGTGAGGCCAATACATTCAAAAGCCTTGTCTCTCGATGTGTGATCGCCCTCAAGGAAAGCGTTGATGTAGGTCTTGTAATTCCCGGTCAGTCGGCTTTTATCGAAGACGCCGTTTTCGGTGCAGAATTCCAATATGTAGCTGATCCAATTGATCCAGTATCCTCCGTACGTATTCTGGTCTTTCTTTGCGAGCAAAAGCAGTACCTGAACTAGTTGAGAGACGGTTGGGACGCGCACTGGATGCAGATCCTGCTGGAATCGCCCTCTTCTCCCTAGGATGTCTGGTCCCGGTAGTTGATTAGGATCAGATGCTAGAGTTATGCTTTCGCCGTCCACGTTTGATAGATTTGGGAGTCGCCACAGAATGTCGGATCTTTTATAGAGGCCCAGCCGTTCGGATTCGGTGATGTGGAGATGGGTGTGAGGGGTTGGAGCATAGAAAAGTTTTTTGTTGCCGTTGCAACCTTCTGACTTGCACTTTTTGAAACCGGCACCTTGAAGAGTGTCATAGGCAGCGTCCATGAAATCATCGTCAACGACGAAGTCCATGCCCTGGGACATCTATTAGAATAGGTCAGCTCAGATTGACGCGAGGTACGTACATTGAATACGGTTGGAATGCCAAAGATAGTTAACATATAATTACCCCAGAGGACATAGGGAATCTTAGAAGCATCAAGACTTGCAGCTGCTGATGCAACGAGTCTGTCGTCGAGAGGTGGCAGCTCAGAATCGTCTTGCCCCTTGCTGACGTCTTCAGCCATCGTGAGAGTATTTGAAGTAGCTGATCAATGAGCAGCGATACAGACCAGGTCGTTCAAAACTTTGCAGGTGCATGTGTTTTGATGCGTTTGTTGAAAGAACGGCGACTGGCAATTAACCGCCGGCTCCGCAAACGGCGCTACAGTGCCCGTGCGCGAAACGAGCCAGTTCGCGGGTCGAGTGACCCGGAACATCATAACATCGAAATCGTCCCAACTTCATCGCGTCATAACTCCACCACCATGGATCCAATTTCGAAAGCGATTGAAGCTATCGAATCGCGTGAAGCAGGGGCTGAATACTATGTCCCTAAACCGTACCACTGAGGTAGGGTTAGGTTGCCCCCAGGGGCGAAAACCGTGGCTGCCCCCAGGGGCAAAGAACAAAATCCTCCACTGGCGAGAAAATTGGTGGAAGTTAATAGGCCTTGGCATCGCTTGCCCCTAGGGGCAAGTGGCCTGTGCTAGAGTTGCGCATTGGCAAAATCTTAACCTAATTAATAAATAACCTCTCATTATCGTAGACGCCGCTCTACCTAAACGCTCTACCCTAATGAAAGCGAGACTACCATAAAGCGCAAAGGCGTGGACGTCTCTACTAGAATAGGGAAAAGGTAACGTACGGCTAGTAAGGAACTTAGGGAGGTAGACTCTATCTACGACCAAGCTACACCATACCTACTAGTAACAGCCATATTTCTAATCAACGCACTCACTGCAGAATGGAGTATTAGGGTAAATAGACCTATTAACGAAGCCTATAAGTGACGCCTCTACTAGATTTTTAATGAGGTAGGCGTTCTATGGCAAGGTATAAGCCACTAATTATAGGTCACTTACTCTAAGGCGCATATATAGTAGATGCTAGACTACCTAAAAGAGGAGGACTAGGCTAAGACCACTATCACCGTAGGTAAGAGCGTTAGGGAGGGCAATTTAAAGTGGCTATCATTCAAAGGTTAGGAGAGCGTGATTGGGGGTAAGGTAGAGCTTATTACTAGCCACTATTAGGTTAAAGCCTTTAAGGAATATCTGCGATAGCGTTAGCTACTAGAGGAAGAGTAGTGGTAGGTGTATAGCATCTATAATAAAGGTTTTAGCCCCTAGACATACTAGCTAAAGTAATAAGCTAACCTAAAAGATAGATACGCTTCTACTACATTTATGGATCCAGCTTTATGCCAATTAAGAAGACATTATCCTTCCTAATAACCATGGTTAGATATAGACTAAGCTAGCGACTTTAGCATCTAAAAATGGCTAGCTATTCTAAGGTTTAAATAGGTTAGTTAAGTAGGAGATGCTGGAGAAACTTAGGCTTAGTAATTAGGTAAAGTTCCTAGTGTGATGGCTGGCTAC